CACTGCCACTTTCAGAAGCTTTCCTGCTCCTGCATACTGGGTGGTGCTGCTGCTCCTGCCGGCCGCCATGTTTGTTTACAGTTCAAGTGGGAAGTGGGTCTTCCCTCCTCTCACAAGCTTCCCCTCTCCTGGTTGCTTGGTGCACACCCCGCTCCCTCCAGAGGCTCTCCGGCCCGCCCGGCTTGTTTATTTACAGTCCCGGGAAGGATTCCCTTCCCCCAATCTTAAGCACTCAGGGCGCCCCACCCTCTTTCCAGCGTGTCTTAACTGTTCTTATTGCTTATTACTCTGTTTCTCTTTTTTTCCCCGGTGGAGGTCAGTCTATCCAGGGGGCTATGCTGCTCTAGCCCAGGCTTGTCTGTGGGGCTACCGCGGTACTGCGAAGCTCACCTGGTCTGCATCTTCCCAAGCCATATGGGCACCAGCCACTGGCGGCCCCGGGGGCCCTCCTCGTTTCTCCGTTTAAAGTGAAGTGGAGATTCTCTGCGCCGGCTGGAGATGTGGAGGGGTCAAAGTTATGCCTTTTCTCAGTGATTATGCCTGCAAAGTGTGTCTCCAGCGTCTCTCCAAGATTTCACTATAGGAGGGTCGCTTTCTGCTTCCTACCTCTAGCCGCCATCTTGCTCTCTCCTCTCTCCTTTTTATAAAGCTATCAGGATTAAATCATGCAGTTCTAACCCAATAATCTTATCTAATCCTTATCACATTCCAAAGACCCACCCCCTGTCTACATATTCCATAGAGCCAAATTTATACCCTCTTAATGCCTCCCAGTAAGGATTAAATTCCAACAGAGGAAACCTTGTGGGGACACATTTAAACCATATCCAAACCACAGTAAGAGATATCCCAATAAACATTTATAGTGGACAACTGAATACTGGGTCTGGCCTGGAGAAAGGAATTGAGGAGTGATCAGTTTGGAGATGATTATTTGAAGGCTTCAAATTGAATAAAATGTCCATTAAAAATGAGGTGTTTTAGAAGGCTTAGGAGAGATTACTAAGGGAAAATGTAATTAGCCATTGAATGGCTAGCCCACAAAAGAAAGGGAAAAATAAGACATCAGAGGGTCAGAGAAGATTTAAGATAGCAGGCGATAAGAGAATCCAAATAAAATAATAGTTCAAGTAGAAGCAAATGGACAAAGATGGCAAATGATAATGGAAAATCAAGTCACTATGGAGTAGGCATTGGCTTTGGCCTGCAGACATTGATTAGCTTTTTCAGGGAAGAGTAATGCTGAAGCCAGATTACAAGTACTTATTTTTTTATTGTTTTATTATTCATATGTGCATACAAGGCTTGGGTCATTTCTCCCCCCTGCCCCCACCCCTTCCCTTACCACCCACTCCCTCAATACCCGGCAGAAACTATTTTGCCCTTATACAGGTACTTAAAGAGAACAATTACATAACTTAAAAAATTGACTTTAAAGAGAACAATAAAGAGAGCCATAATGAAACATGGAGTTAGAGGACAAGAGATTTTTTTTTTTTTTGCTTTTCTTATTTTGAGTGTCTTTGTTTATATTTTAATGAGAGACATATGAGCTTTTTTTAAAATTAAAGAATAGGAAGGAATTGAAGTGGGTAGGGATCATGAGTAGGTGTGAAGAGGTAGGATTCAGAACACAGGAAAGGATTTAGTGGTTAAAAGCAGGAAAACCTACTTGGTCTGTATGACAGTTGGCATAGTAATAAATGTATGGGTTCCAAGGCTAGAAGCTAAAGGAACTCCATGGCTTCTATTCACTCTGTAAAGCAAGAGGAAGGAGGGAGGAACATGGAGAGAGAGAGAAAGGGAGAGGGAGAGAGAGATAAAGAGAGAGAGAGAGAGAGAGAGAGAGAGAGATGTGTTGTATACATATTCTAAATACAGATGTTAAATAACTGCTGGGGAAAGGGAGATTATTTCAAGGACTCTACATCTAACCATATTCTCAGAAAGTAATATAATAAAATTAGAAATTGACAATGAAAAATTATTCCCCCAAATCTGGATGTTCGACCTCTAAAATACTTTTTTTCAAGAATTTGCATATTAAAGACGAAATCATAAAGTCTTTAGAATTAAAGATCAAAAAGAGCACTACCAAGCACAATTTATACAAAGAAATTCATATCTGTAAATACATTTACTCCATGACAAAGGAGAAAAAAAAAGAAATGAAGTTGGTATAGCATGCAAAATTTAAAAGAAAAATAGACCGAAAAAGAAAACTTTTAAAGCACTTAAAACTTTCTTAAATAAATGTTAAGTAGAAACAAGGATTAAGCAAAACCAAAAGTACTGACTGATGAGGTAGAAAATATTCACAAAGAATAAGTTAAAAAGTAGGAACATGATTATAACTTAGAGATATTTTCTAAACATAAAAGCATAGTATGAACATATTTATGGTGATAAATTTCAAAATCTGTATGAAATTAACAATATTAAGAGCAATATGATCAGCTATCCTCAATAAGTAAAAACCCAACTAGGCCAATAGTTATTTAAAAAATAGAACCAGTTTCTAAAAAAAAAAATCTCACCTTCAAAATATAATCAGGCTTCAAAAAATTTAATGCCAGGCTTTGTCAAATTTTCAAGGAACAAAAACCCAAACATTAGGCTAAAAGAGTCAGATGATAGAAGCCAATCCAGCTGTTTTATTGGACAAATAAAACATATCAAATCAGTGGAAGAAAAGTATAAGATTTATAAGACAATATGAATAAAATACAATTTCAAATATCAGCAATTCAAAACCAGCAGTGTATTTTTAATCTCTTGATTAAGTAGAGTTAAGTTTATTCCAACAATTAAATGTGACTTAGCATTGGAAAATATGGATAGATTTGTGCACAAGAATAATATGACCCTCTCAATACATGTAGAACAAGTAATCAATAAAAGCCTATATTTCTCATAACAAAATATCTTAGCAAACCAGAAATAGAAGAAGCTTTCTTCCCTTTAGAAAAGGTATGGACCATTAAACTACCACAAACACCACACTTAAAGATTAAACTTGGAAACTGCCAAAGGAGAGTCAAGAAAAGACAAGGAATGTCAGCTCTGATACTGTTACTTATCATTGCACTGGAAATTGAATTAAACAAGGACAAAGAAACCAACTGTATAAAGGTGGGAAAGAATTTGCAAATGATATGATTGCATATGTAGAACATCAAAAGAAACAAATGTGAAAATATTATTAGAGCTCAACAAACATATATAAAAATCAATACATTTGTCATTAATTAGTGATTAGAAAATGTATTAGGATAAAAAAGGATTAAATCACTAAAAACAACAACAAACAGCACCAACTCCAAGTCTCAAAGACAAAAAATTATAAAACTGAATCAAAGAGTATAGAATTAATCCCAAATAAGTAAATACTATCAATAGATGGAAATATTGTTAAGTTGTTGGTTCTCCTTAAATTGAATATAAAAGTCAATGTAATGCAATGTCAAATTTTCAGCAGGCTGTTTCAGGGAAAATGAAAAGCAGACTAATTAAATATGGAAAAGTACGGAGTTAAAGACATTCAACCTATACTGATAAAAAAAATAAGAAAAACATTCTGTTGCTTATGTACGAAGATATACATAATAATATTGAAATAATAATATTGAAATTTTTTACTATAAATTATTAACATAATAACATCAAACACCTTACAAATCAAGCATCAGAGTAACCTGCATATAAGAAATCTGCTCTGTGATAGAGATGATACTGTCAATCAGTGAGGGCAGGCAGACTAATCAATAAATGATCTCAACCATACTTCAAACACTAAAATACATTCTAGTTGTTTTAAATACCTAAAGGTAAAACCAAAGCTTCAGAACTATTATAAGGAAATATTGAAAGTATGTTTGGGTGACTTTGGGATAGAAAAGGACTTCTTAAGTAAAAACATCATTGGGAGAACACATAAAGAAAAATTAACAAACTGGATGCAAATCTCTGTGTAAAGGTACAAAGGCATTTACAATTTTAACAGACTATAGGTTTTCATTCAAGAACAAACAACCCTTACAAATTAATAAGAAACTGCAAAGTAAAAGTATGAAAAGGCAGCCATCAAAGCAGAAATCAAAAATGACAATGAGCACTAAAATTCACAAACAGTAATGAAGGAACTGTGAATAAAAAATATTGTGTGCCTTTTTTCATACATCAGGCTGTCAAAAATTAAATATTGTTCACTCTTAATTATCTATGGAAAACCTTATATATGTGCATATTAAGAAAGGTGGAACCAGATGCTGGTGGCTCATGTCTGTAATCCTAACTACTTGGGAAGCTGAGATCAGGAGGATCATGGTTCAGGGCCAGCACAGGCAAATAGTTCATGAGACTCCATGTCCAAATTTACCAGAGCAAAATGGACTGAAGGTGTGGCTCAAGCCATAGAGCATTTCCTCTGTGAGCACCTGTTTTGCAAGCATGGAGCCCTGAGTTCAAATCCCAGTTCCACCAAAGAAAAAGAAAGGTGGAAAAGATAAAACTCAAAATAGACAAACATTAGAAATAGCCTATATATTTGGTATGAGGGGAGTAGATAAGTGCAAAGATTATTCATGTAGTGGGGTACTGAATAACAGAAGGAAGACTAGAATCTAACTAGATACATATGTGCATATAAACACATAATATAATTTACTTGTATACTTCAGTGTGTGGTTTCATAGAGCAAATGGAGGGGACCTTTCTGTAGAGGAAGCCATAGAAAGATCATCTCAATGCTAAAAGTCAAACTAGCAAACTAGTGAGGGTTTCTGCTTTTTCCAGTTCCCCGGTATAGATCATAGATGCCCCTAGAAATTCACTAAAACCAGTTAATTCAAGGAGTCTTTGGAAAACAAGTCATATACATTTAAGTACATATATTAAGTATCTTAGTGATTGAAGTTTTGTGGGAGTGGAAAGGGAGATGTATTTGAGTATCAGTGACATAAATGAAATAACCTGAGCTTTTCCTTGACTTCCTTGCTCAGCTTCTGAGTCAGTCAAATATTCAACAGAGTGACTATTCTACAGCCCTAAAACAGTGCAACAGGGAAAAGAACAGAACTTCTTCCATTATCCCCGGTGAGTTATACTGAATCTCAAAAAACCAATTATTTTATTATAAAAGCCTGTGTGCCATTTGGTAATGTTTATATACCCCGGGACAAATCCTGTACACTTTAATTATCATATTTGATGTCTATTAACATATTGTTCTAATTATACCCAATATGAGACTGTTAAGAAGGACTCATCAATCGTTGAAGTCTTATCTAAAATGTAAAATATATTCAACAATTAGCTTAAAGATCAAAGATGCTCAATTTGAAAAATGCTGCTATATTTTGCATTTGGGGGTTGCAGAGACATGGTACTGCTGTGGAAACAGGTGTTTACAGTAAGGAATGTTCTGTATTCCAGTGGAAAGATCAAGGGTTGGCATCTCATCCCTGAGTGGGGAAGGTACCGACTACATCAATGCCTCCTATATAATGGTAAGTCAGAGATGTCACTGGAGAGACCATGTGCCAGTTTGTTTTGCCAGAATCACAACCAGAGTAGGTGGGCTGCAGACATGGGCAGTGCCACTGGTAGACAGAAGTCCAATTTGATGATGGCAGGCCTCAACTAGCAGCAGCAAGTGGAATATCAGCATTCCTTGATGCTTTTATGTATGTAAGAAAAATGAGGAGATGTAGAAACCCAAACTTACCATTCAAGGCTGATGAATAGGTATGAAGTTATATTTGTCTACATGGGAGGCTCCACTTTGTTCACATTTCTGCCCCTGGGCAGACTCAGGATATACCAGCTTCAGCAAAGACCATTCTCACCAAAATTACCATCCAGTTTTATGGCAGCGTAGTTCTTACCCTGTGCACTGGGCTCATTTGGGGACCTGGATTTCTAAAACCATACCACCTCTTTTCTGTAGCTAGGTTTTCTATTCAAAGATTGATGCTTTAGTGGCTGTTGTCATTACTGTCTCAGGACAGTTACACAGCTTGGTTTCAGATGAAAGGGTCCTAAATTCCATTGCAAAACCCCTGTTCTATTTATCCAGCAATGAAATTATTAAGGGATTGCAGTGCAGGAAACCAGGGTATGTGTGGCAGTGACAGCTAAATACATGCCACACTTCAAATGAGCCCATGGAAACAGGTGTGGGATCTGAAGACACCAGACCAACGGGTAGAAGAGCAATGACTATAGTACATAACAGCACAGAAGTCATGATTAATCTGATAGCACCAGCTCCCAGGTTTCTGTGGCAAAATCTTGGAGGAGCTTCCTAATTCCTCTCTTGCAGCAGTCATGGGCTCTGGAAACCAAAGAAGTTTTGTTGTGAATAGGTGTGAAATCTGACACTCCTAACACTGGGGCCTGAGGATGAGAATTACAAACTCTGCTGTGGACTTTCTCTCTATCTGGTATAGGAGACACTTCCACAAGTCATTTCAGTAAATCTGTTCCTAGATGGGATAGCTGAACTTGAGTATAACACTTCTTAAGGTAAACTTGGCCAGAACATGTAACTACTTTGCTCCCAGTTAATTATCTGTAAAATGGGGATCACAATCTCAAAGTACTGCTATAAAGGAATGCATTCCTCAAGAGGAAGAAAACAGTCTGTACCTAGCATATAGGAAGTGCCCAGCAAACATTGGATGTAATAATCACATTTTTATTTGTACGTACAGTCTACAATTTAAGAGACTATTTTGACTTCAGGTCCATTAACTTACAGATGTTTTTATGAATGCTTAAAGTTGCATGCTAGGACCCTTATCTTTTCTTCGGTTTTGTAGGGATACTACCAGAGCAATGAATTCATCATCACCCAGCATCCCCTTCTCCATACCATCAAGGATTTCTGGAGAATGATATGGGATCATAATGCCCAGCTGGTGGTTATGATTCCTGATGGTCAAAACATGGTAAGTACCTAGATCACTTTTAGTCCTTTTGTTACAGGGAAAAACATCAGGTCACAATAACCAGAAGTGAAGCACAGAAACAAACAAAAAATTTTTTCAACTTATAGACTAACATCATTGTTATCTACTGTTGATCTTGGTATTGTTTTACAATCTCCTGAGTCTATAACTGATTAATGTCAAATTTAAGAGTAAATAGCTGAAAATTAACTTAAATTTATATATTTTGTGATACTGCTTAAGAAAATTTGGGTTTAACCATAAATTATATCAGTCAATATGTTTCTATTTACATTTTTAAAATAAAATGGTGCTAGGGTATTTGGAGATTCCCTTAGTTTAAGAAGGTCAGTAGAACTAGAGAGAGAGAGAGAGAAAAGGAAAGAAAGAAAAAAAGGGAGAGCGGGGATGGAAGGACGGAGGAGGGAGTAAAAAGAGAGAGACCCAGTTGAAATAAAGTGAATATAAGGACTTTTTTAGCGTCAGAAAATCAGGGGCATCCCATTCTTTTTATATGTGTTTGGAGAACCCAAAAAGTAAAACAAAATTAATATTTCATTTAGGCTCTCTAAAGTCATACTGACCATTCCAAATGAGGCTAGATATTGCTGAGCTCTTAAAATTACTTCGATTGGATTATCCCTACTCAGTTGCCATTTAGAAACAACAAGCTTGCCATTTGCTATTGATAAGCTAGGAGTAAGAAATAATAAGCAATAGTTAAGTGTAATAATTTATTTTGCACATCAGTCTGGTTTAAGACGTCAAGAAATTTTGTTAGTAAATTTTGAAATTCAAAGAAAATTTTGAGTTGAAATTTCTATAGCAAACCATTAACTTTATTTCACAATCTGGCTTATGAAATATTTTATTGAAATTCAGACTCTTCTGTGTTTTGTGATTCTCCAGGCAGAGGATGAATTTGTTTACTGGCCAAATAAAGATGAACCTATAAACTGTGAGAGTTTTAAGGTCACTCTTATGGCTGAAGAACACAAATGTCTATCTAATGAGGAAAAGCTTATAATTCAAGACTTTATATTGGAAGCTACACAGGTATGGTCATGTTAAATAACAACCTTTTCATATACCCACAGGTGAAATCTAGGCTGACTTAAGTCTCTTTCTTAGAAATAAAGAGGATGCTGACTTCTTACAAATTGAGAGTTAGCCAGATATTTCCACTTTCACTTTCAAAATGTTACAGAATCACAAAGTTCTACCTGGGCCTACTGGTGCATGCCTGTAGGCCAAGCACTCTGGAGGTTGAGGCAGGAGGATTAAGAGTTTTGAGGATAGTCTGGGATAATAAAGGAGATCCTGTCTCAAAAGGCCAAATAAAATATAATAAAAAAGAAATACATAATTCTTGACTTCTGTATACCCAGTAAATAAAGGATTTCTCTTTTACTCTAAATCAGTTACTGATACAATTTAGGTTGAAAATAAAGACAGCATATATGTATCTTATTAAGTCTAATTCTCAAGGTAAGGAAAGCCCTTACCTTTATATCTGTTATTGAACTGTTATAGAAGAGATCTGTTACTGAACTTTTATCAATAATTACTTATGTAGAGCTACAGTATAATACTGAAAGATACTCAGTGAGACAAAGGCATTTGAGGTTCATAGTACCTTCTCAATCAGAAAAAGTTTAAATCATGTTTTAAACCATTTAGATGTTTCACTTTACTTCTGAAGCTGACAAACCATATATAGTATTAAGAAGATTCTCTTTTCTATTGAATACTCTAATGAATGAAACATATAAATTTGGTATTGCAAATAGATAAAGAATGTAAACAATATCTGAATGGAATAGTATACTACTTGATTAAAGCAAAAAATTTAACATGTTGAGTCTAGTCTCACTGATGAACTAGTGTTGGGAGAGTTTTGTTTTGTTTTGTTTAATCACTTCTTGGGCCCTTCAGTGGCAGAGTGCATTCTTAGTTTGCACAAGGTCCTGGTTTCAATCCTCAGCACTGGAAAGAAATCCTTATATAATATCATAAAGATACTCTGTGCTCTACTATATTGTTTTCTAAATATTTTGTAGTTCCACCTGGAACTGATTTTTATATTACATTTTATAATACAAGTCCAGTTTCATTGCTTTCCACATGGTAACCATTGTTCCAACACCTTTATGGATCAACAGTATAACTTTAGTCATAAATCTAGTTTCTGTAATGTGTGGGTTTATTTCTAGCATTTGTATTTCTTTCCACTGGAATCTTTGTCAATCCTTTTTCCAAACTGGAAGTATCATGTTTCTTAAAGCTTGTAATAATTCTTGATATCCCAGGAGACAATGCTCTGTTTTGGTTTTCTTCTTGGCTGTTATGGTCCTGTGCACTTACCATATGAAATTTAGGTTGTGATATTTATTTTTAAATGTAGCATTTTACTAAGTACACTTCAGAAAACAGGGGATCAGAGGTTTAAGGAATGTAATCCAGTTACAGAGTCTGGTTAGTCGCTTAAGTAAGAAATAGCAGTGCGACTGGGGTTGAATCTAAGTCTTCATCCCCTTGCCAACATTTTTCTCACTGTGTCATGCAATCTTATTCTTCCCTTACACAAACCTCAGTATTGCTGTTGTTTGAAGATCTCCAATCTACTTTCCAAACAAATTTGAACAATGGAAATTTCTTTTCACAAGTTTAAATTTAGCAACACAGGTACATCTTTGTATAGACTTTCATGGTTTATTAGCATTCATATGATTCCTGCACAGATAAGGTTTATTTTTGGAATTAAAAAAGAGATGTCATTTTGCTGTCCTGCTGAGTAAATTTACATATGGTAAATATAGCATCACAACTATCCCTTCCTTCCATCATGGGAATGGTCTGCAGCTAGCGCATGCACTAAGTTTTATTTCCTAATTCCTAGTTTTCCCCAATCGTTTCACTCAATGTAAACTGTCATTGATCAATCCTACTCTTTAAAAAATACTAATTTGTTTTTTCTTCTCACAGGATGATTATGTACTTGAAGTGAGGCACTTTCAATGTCCCAAATGGCCAAATCCAGATAGTTCCATTAGTAAAACTTTTGAACTTATCAGTATTGTCAAAGAAGAGGCTGCCAACAGAGATGGGCCTGTGATTGTTCATGATGAGTAAGTTTCACACTTTAAATCATTTTACACATCAGGGTAAATGTATGCTTTGAACCAACTGTGATGCTTCATCAGGGTGGATAATCTGCTTCTTATCAAGAAGGGTAACAAAACATTTTTTCACTATACTTGAAGCTATTGAAGACAGAAGATGAGTGTATAACCACAAGAATCTACTCTTGCTTTTTATACTGAGAACATTTTGATGAGACAGTGCTTCAGCACTAAGACTTTTACAGGAGGAAACCAGAGATACATTTTTTAGCCATTTACTTCTTGGGAAAGGAGTAAAATTGCTATGTTTTTCTATTTACCTGAAAAACATAATCTTTATTCAATAGATCTTTCCAGGTCTCTGTGATAAGCAAATGAAAAAATGCTAGAATTGTGTTACATACTTATTATATAGAAGATACATATTTTGTATATTATCTCAGTCAAATCAATTTTTAAATTTTTTCCAACCCCTGTCATGGTATAAAATAACAAGTGTATAAGTATATATTAAACTTCTAAAGTATTTCATAGCTAATAATGGCATGAATACCTGGCAGTATTCATAAACCATAATTCTATGCACAAAAAAGGAAGGAGGCAAGTTATCAAAATGTTCATTGTTCTTACTGTGAACTTTTCATGGCTATATGCTCTGTGAGATCCAAATGTGAGTGTATGATATATCTGAATGGAGCCTTTGTCCCTTCCCTTTGGTTACAGGCATGGGGGAGTGACGGCAGGAACTTTCTGTGCTCTGACTACCCTTATGCACCAACTAGAAAAAGAAAATTCCATGGATGTTTACCAGGTAGCCAAGATGATCAACTTGATGAGGCCAGGAGTCTTTGCTGACATTGTAAGTAATGAAGCAAGGAACCAAACTTTTCACTCTTAGTGTACTTCTTACTTTTTAGAAGCTACTGAAATATTTTTATCATGTATAAGAAAGGTCATAATCCTAGCTACTCAAGAGACAGAGATTAGGAGGATGACAATTCAAAGCCAGCTCCAGGCAATTAGTCCAGGAGACCCTATCTCTAAAATATCCAGAACAAAAGAGAGCTGCTGGAGTGCCTAGCAAGCATGAAGCTCTGAGTTCGAACTCCAGTACCACCAAAAATATTTTAAAAGAAAGAAAGGTCATATGTATGTGATAGATGGCATTAATATGTGGTTTTCTCAAAGTGAATTACAAGTCTGCATCTTACACATGACTGACAGATAAAAAATTTTAAGTTGTTAATTTTTTTCCATTTTACAAGATTTATTGTAATTTTCAAAAGTATCTTCAGAAGTACCAACAAATGCACTTACCCAATAAACGAAATAGTTATCTTCCTGAGCTTCAAGCTCTGCTTCACCTCAGAGAACAGCCAGCAGACATACCTCAAAGAGTTAAATGTTGGAACCGTTTGATATTTTTCAAGCCAAATTCAATTTCTGGAATTAACAAGTGGCTAATTCTTGGGTACAGTCAGGAAGAGACATAGCCCATCTAGTAGCCAGTTCAACTTAGAGAATAATCTGGAATTTTTTTATTGTCGTGGAAACAGGGTCTGGAAAGACAATAGGGAACTTGGTTCACACACTGTAGAGGAAAAGTTAGAGGTCACAGGCTTACCATCAGCTTCCTGACTGTTTATGGATAAAAGCCTCATACAGAGATCACACACATACACACATACATACACACACCACCTTTTTGCAAAGTAGAGCCTTTGACCAGTCAGTTTGATGGGGTGATAAAAATATTTGGCAAGTACTGGATCTGGTAAAGGACTGTGTTTTATATTGGTTACCTGCTGATGGTATTTGTTGTTAAAATCTCTCCATAAACAGAACTATTTTCTATTGCACATAAATAGAGGATAATTTATTTTTTAAAGGGTTGGAGGTGCCTTGCACCAAAGTGTTTTCCTGCAAGTTTCTAAAACCCTATGGCATCAACTTCTAATTCTAGGAAGCAAATGAAGAAGAACAGAATGCTTATCACTGGCAAATATATGTGAGCCACTTGTCAAGGTCAATGACTGTTGACTAACTGAAAAAAGCTACTTTAATCAGAAAAAGAGAAATTAGTAAAGATCTGCTGAGGATAACAAAGGCCACAGCACAATGCCCTTCCTCGAACCGTCCAGGAGTATTCTGTTTTTTACAAATTCATGCCATCACCAAGCTTCCTGTTTACAGCCTTCCCTTCTCTATTCTCTAGGAGCACTACCAGTTTCTGTACAGAGTGGTCCTCAGCCTCGTCAGCACCAGGCAGGAAGAGAGTGCTTCCACCTCTCTGGACAGTAATGGTGCAGCTTTGCCTGATGGAAATATAGCTGAGAGCTTGGAGTCTTTAGTTTAACCCACAGGGGCAGGAAGCCTTCTCTTTCTCATATTAGGAAAGTGAGTTCACTGCTTTTATCTGTTCATTTCTATCACCTGACAGTATCTCTCATGACATAGGATTCTGCTGCCAAATCTACATCATTAACAATGTGTGCCTTTCTCAAAGACTTCTTGTGATTCACTTATTATGTCTCAACTAAAATGATTAAATTTTACAATGTTTCTAAGAATGGAATTGTGGTATTTTTTCCATATTGATTTTAACAGAAAATTTCAATTTATGGACATTAGGAATTCCCAACTACAGAAAATGTTGGTTTTAGTGTCAAATTTTTAGCTGTATTTGTAGCAATCATCAGGTTTGCTAGAAATATAACTTTTAACATAGTAGATGTAAATAAACTACTTTGTCTCTATATTCAATATTTTACAACTGCAGTATTCACCTAAAGTAGGAATAATCTGATACTTACTGTAAATACTGCTCTAGTGTCTCCATGGACCAAATTTATATTTATAATTGTAGATTTTTATATTTTACTACCGAGTCATTTTTCTAGTTCACTGTCCTTATTTAGTTTAATGCTGTAGGTCATTATCTGGTCTTACTCTTCAAGGCTTCTAATATTGTATTGTGTTATCTGGGAGATTAACTCTGTTTCAGCATGAAGTTTTAACTTTTGTGGAAAATAGAAAAACATTTGTTTTGAAAGATGTTTTTATGGGATAACACCTTACCAAACATTGTTTAAATGGTTTTTATCCAAGGAATTGCAAAAATAAATATAAATATTGCCATTAATATGTGTTTGTTTGCTTGTGAAATGTTGTGCTGAAGTGGCAGAAAACTGTAAACATGGATCTCATAAGGATGAAGGGCAAAGGAATGAGACAGCACATAGAGCTGTATTTCTCAAACTGTGTTCCCTGTGGTTGTACCACATGAAACTCACAAAATTTTACATCTTTTCTGAGAACAAGACAACAACATGTGCTACCACTGTATAGTCTCCTAACTGTTAAACTGCTTAGGCCTATCTACTCCATAAACAGAATCATTATGTATTTGTCTATGGGAGTGTTATGGTCTGAATTCTCATGTCTCCCTAAAATTTATATGTTGACATCCCTAATCCTAAGGCGATGGTATTAGACAGTGAGGCTCTTGGGAGACGATTGTGTGTTGGGGAGAGAGCCCTCATGAATAAGATCAATGCCCCTACAAAAGAGGCCTGGAGAAGTCCTTGGCTTCTTCCACTATTTGAAATGACAGTCAATACACAGCCGTTCATAAGCATCAAGTCCTTACCAGACACTGATTCTGCCAGCACCTTGATCTCACAGCTCCTAGAACTCTGAGAAATACATTCCCACTATTTACAAGACACCCTGTGCATAGTATTTTGTTGTAGCAGCCCAGATAGACTAACCCCAGGAATTATCAAATGTTACTGAGAAACTAAGAGAATCACGTTGGGAACCTTTGCTTTAGAACCAAACTCGGAGATAGAAGCAGGCCAAAGACTCCAATATACACAAAGATCAAACAAAGCAGGGGTTTGGGAACCACATAGATAAACAAGGGTCAGGAAGTGATAAATTCCGAATGGAAAAAGGTAAGGTCTTCACATTAAGGCAAATCATTAGGATGCAAGGGTGGTGTGGAACTGAAGTGTAAGAAAACAGAATCCATTAGCAACAAGCAAACTTTGATACTTGAAGCATTCCCCTGCCTCAACTAAGAGTGTTTTATAGTACTGTCTAATAAGAGGACATGGAGCCCCAAGCTTAGGCCCCAAAGCAGAAAGCTAGAAAAGTGTCATTTAAACCAGTGCTTCTCAAAGTATGGTTCTCTGACAATCAGTAAAACCTACTAGTCCGTCTTTCTGTGTCTATAATGAAATACTTGCATCTGGATATTTTATAAGGAAATGAGTATTACTTAGCTCACAATTTTAGAGGCTGTAAGTCCAAGATTGTATGGCCCAACGGTTCAGCTTCTAGTGAGAGACCACTTGACTACATCTCATCATTGTGACATAGAGGGAGCTCATGTGAGGAGAGCTCATAGGTGAGATAGTAAGCAAGAGAATAGGGAAAGGTTAGACTTACCCTAACAGCAACTCATTCTCACAAGAACTAGAGAAGGTCCCATGAGAACTACATTAATCCCTTTGGAAGACAGCACTGCCCACCATGACCTAATAACCTTGCCTTAAGCCCCATCTCTTAAAGCTTCCACCACCTCTCACATCACTTCACTGGGTACCAATCTTCCAACACATGAAGTTTTGGGAAGCAAAAAGTCATAGCCACACCATACCATCTAGGAACTTGTTAGAAATGCAAATCCTAAATTCCCACCATGAAATTTGGGGAGTAGGGCTCATCAATCTAGTAGACACTAAACTTAGTGGACAACTGCTCTAAAGCAATACTTCAGAGAACTTCCAGTTTCCTCAAGCAGTGTCAGGAAATTCTTAAAACAAAGCTAAAATTAACTAACTCCTTTTTTAGGGAAAGAGAAAATCTGCACATTTGTCAAAATAAACAAAACTTTCTTACTACTATTAGTCATAATTGATTATCATCCACTAATTTGCTAATTGCAAGATTATCTGATATATTACAAATCAATTCCTCATTAGTACAATATTAGGTGTTAGAGTAGGTGGTTTTAAATGAAACATGCTGCACCAGTGCAATTCTTGGCATTAAATTGTAATTACTAAGGATTTTTTTCTTAAGATCATCATTTTTAAAAGAAAACCAAGAATTTAAGTGGGTGTAAGAAAAACATGGTGTGAAATTGAAACCTCTCATTACATACATAACAGGAACATCTAATCAGTCTATCAGCTGTGACACATTCTAAGCAAACCACAAGAGACACAGACTGACCTTAGAGAAGCTTCTCAACTGTGCTAATTGGCAATTCCTTTCTTGCAATCATGGACGAGCTATTTACCACGTCTCCAATTCCTGTTATCTTGAGTCTAGAATAGTTGCCTTAGTTCTGAATTGTCCATAGAGAAATGAAGTGATGCAAATTATCTTTATCCTTGTTGATAACTTATTTACAAAGCTTAAATAACTATGGGCATTGAGGTTCTTAATAATAACCTCAATAGGTATTAAGCATGAGCATAATGCATTATTAAGCTACATCTGTAACAACTAGAAAGTCCATGATGTTAAGAAGTTAAACTAATGCATTTCCTGGGCTTTTTAGAGAATGTTTTATGAACAATTTTCATATTTTGTCTATGTAGTATTCAGTTTGAAACCCAAGGGAATACATAAAATGATTCAACAAACCAAGTAGAGAAAAAATAAAATAGTTAGAAAATAATTAAAACCACTAAGGAAAGACTGAAAAACCCAAAGAGAAAGATTGGTAACAGGGGTCATTACTATGCATTCACAGAATCCACCGGCAAGTTGTTTTCCCTCTGGGGAGCCTTCCTGTGGCAGAACTTATTTTCTAAAAAGAGTCCAACAATATCTTGCATCCCTTGTATGACTTTGAAACTCATCCTAGTGATTAGTGAAGCCTATAACTTGTCTTCCTTGGATCTGAGTGGACTTTTGACTAGAGTGAAATTCATGTTATGTGGTATCCAAGGCCAAGTTAGAAGATACAATTTGGCTTCCATCTGATTCTCTTCAGATGCTGTGTCTTGCAACAGTGCCACCATGCTGTGACCAAGCCCACACAACAGTGGAAATAAACCAAGGTCCTGGGCCACTATTCCAGCTGAGTTCCTAGCTGACAACCAGAACAAAGTAGCCAGCTATGCAAGCAAACCATGCTGAAGCAAATCCTCCAGCTTCCAGCCAACACACTGCATGGAGAAACAAAGCCATACCCATATTGCAGATTGATGACCAAAATAAATGATTTTTAAGCTACTACATTTAGGGGTAGTTTGTTGCACAGCAATATATAATCTAAAGCACTTCTTACACTTCATGCCCAAAAAAGTTATGAACTATATGTCCCATACTCCTGGGCAGCTAGGCTTCTGGATGTGAATGATGTTTCACCAAAAACAGGGAGCCATAAAGTTTTGAAACATGATTTTTCAAAACTTTATGGCTCATTATAATAATTAAACCTCATATATTATAATATAATATAATATTATAATATTAAACCTCATATATTTGCCTATGCTTTCTGACTTGCTGTCCACAATGCTGATTCTCTTACATAAGATTTAGAAGGCAGAAGTTAGCAGAGGCTATCTTCTTTCCCTCTTGACCCCTCCTGATGCAAAAGATTATAAAAATAATGGTTTTCTGCAGAAAGCATAGTATCAAATATTTGGACCACCACTGTAAGAGCAGTGGCTTTTGACTAGAGATTCCCAGTCCATGGGACCCACTATAGTGTAAGCTCTTGTTCCTACTTCCGTATATGCCTTTCTCTTTACAATACCTAGAATGGTTTCTGTCCCTTGCTCCAAACATTGAGTCAGCAGCCCATAAAATAAATACCAAAATGTTACTGCAATCATCTACTCATCTTCTCTTTCTTCCACTACTAAAGTAGCCTGAAAACACGTCACCCACAGAGTGGGAGAAAATATTTACCAGCTATACATCAGACAAAGGACTAATAACCAGCATTTACTGGGAACTTAAAAAACTAAACTTTCCCAAAATCAACGAATCAATAAAGAAATGGGCAACTGAACTAAACAGAACTTTCTCAAAAAAAGAAATTCAAATGGCCAAAACACACATGAAAAAATGCTACCATCTCTAGCCATAAAGGAAATGCTAATTAAAACCACACTAAGATTCCACCTCACCTCTGTTAGAATAGCCATCATCAAAAACACCACCGACAACACGTGTTGGCAATGATGTGGGGAAAAAAGAACCCTCGTGCCCTGCTGGTGGGAATGCAAGCTAGTGCAACCACTTTGGAAAAAAATATGGAGGCTTCTTAAAAATCTAAACATAGATCCTCCATATGATCCAGCAATCCCACTCACTCCTGGGGATATA